AGAGGCGCGCTGGTAGCCGCCCCGCCCGAGCCTCCTGGGGCGCCCGGCCACTTGACCTCCCCCCACCCCTGCGCTCCGTATTTTTTCAGTGATAAATCCATACAGGTGCAGTACTCTCAGTGACGGACAGATCTCCTCCACGTGATCCCCTCAGAGTCCGACCAAGGCGCGGAGGGACTGACAAGGAGGTAGGGGTGGTTGTCAGCGCGCTGGTAGCCGCCCCGCCCGAGCCTCCTGGGGCGCCCGGCCACTTGACCTCCCCCCACCCCTGCGCTCCGTATTTTTTCAGTGATAAATCCATACAGGTGCAGTACTCTCAGTGACGGACAGATCTCCTCCACGTGATCCCCTCAGAGTCCGACCAAGGCGCGGAGGGACTGACAAGGAGGTAGGGGTGGTTGTCACCGCTTGGTGACGCTAGGAACTGACCCTGAGGGATAGGAAAAGTCCTGGCCAGGGTCGTAAGCGGATCTGTCGCGGCCAGCTTTGGTGTGTTTGGTAGGCGAGCGCAGTGCCTTGCGTCGCTGTTGTCGCCCTCGGCTCCTGTCACGCAGCAGGAGCTGGCGCCTGGAGTCTCGAACTGGGGGGGGCGGGTTAGCGTGTGTACCGGCCAAGAGGCGTCCCATCTTTCCGCGCTTGGGCATGGCCTGCCCCAAATTTGATCGTCAATATTGGATGAGTTTTGACCTAGCAAAGATTTCCGTCTAAAATGGCTTTCATCGGACCGCGTTAAACGGGATCCCAGCGGTACTGGAGAGAAAAACAAATAACTACAATTTTTCTGACGGAATCTGTGGCAGTGCACACTGGGCATAGAATTAGGAACTGGAAACAGATGAAGTCACATTAAAGGTGCTAATGCACATGCATTAGCTCCAGGACCCTCCCCTGGCACAGGTCTCTCTAGTCCTCCCCACCCTTTATGCCTGGAACCGCTGGGAAGTGCCTCAGGTGAGCTCCTATCCATCCTGTTCTTGCGTCCCACCACTCCTTGGTGTTTCTGCCTGTGAGACCACGTGGGGGCAGCCCTTCCCTTTTACCTGACCAGTGGCTTCTTGAGAACAATGATGATCGTGCTAAGGAAAAGGTAAATTTAAGTGAGGCAAAGCAGCCTTCCTCTCTAGAGAAGCTGATGTTTCATGGGTAGGTTAGTCTTGTTCCGATGATTCTTTTCAAGCACATGTAATAGGACATAAAAATGAGACCCTTCCCCTCTCAGTTTTGACTGAGTTACCAAAGGAACAAAGGCCAATTACTCTCTCAGTATAAAATGGAATGAGAAACATCCAAAGCACAACTTGCAAAGTGGGTGGCTGGAAATCAGTGTATGGTTTCCAGTCTAAGAAAAAGTCCAGAGAGACCCAGAGATAATTCTGATAGGATATTTGGGCACTGCTGTCAATATGATGTGAGCCCTGCCCATCTCACATCCAAGGAAAGGTGCTTCAGCAAGCTTGGTATGTGCCTCATATGCCCCATCAGGCTGCTGTTCCATTCATGACAGTTGTGCACAGAGAAATAGATGCTATGGGGAAGGTTTAACAGCCAGGGGTTTTCAAGAAAGAGAATATCTATGTGAATGTGCCCAGAGCATGAACAAATCAGCTAAGAGATTATCTTATATCCTGTCCAAGGGAATTTCTAGAAGAGTGAGATGACACTGCAAGACAGGTGACTGCTAGTTTCCTGGAGGCTGAGGGAGGGTTATCCAATAATCCAAGCAGAGATTCATTTACCCATATGAAGAGGTCCTGGGAAGTCATATGGGGTGGTCTTCCAAAATCCCCACAAAAGGTGAGTCAGCATTAAGAACTTATCAAGTACAGAAAGCTCCGCCAACTCACATAGTAACAGGCCAAAAAGAACTTTGCTACTCTTTACCTCTCCTCTGCTACCACTTCTCCTCCCAATCCTGAAGGAGTCAAAGGAGCAAGAAAACAAGAAGTTCATGAATTGCTTGTGTGATTCTAGAAGAGGAGAAAACCTTTAAAGTTTGATGCTTTAAATTTTTACACAGCCCTGAACTTTTAAAATATTGAGTAAGAGAGGGGAGAGATGTAAGAGAGAAAAAGATTAAAAGAAGCTAGAGACTTGTTAGTCTGTGACTGAGCAACAAAGGCAAGGAAGTGTGAGCTGAGATTTCACCCAGAGGGTCAAAGAGGAACTAGCTCCTGGTAGAATTAGTTTTAATAGTCCGTGAGACAGTTTTCTAATTTCACTCCTTGAATATTCATGGCATCAATACTTCAGCTAAAGTACAATTATACTGTTATGTTATATCCCTTACTACAATTTCTTAGAAATATTGAGATGTCGTTACTGTTCCCACTAAGTCCATGCCACTGACTAGTTCTTCTCATGAGCGGCTTGGTTAAGGCACAGTTCTTGAACAGGACTAAATTTACACCATTTGATAGAAACACTTGTAGATGTCACTTCCACCACAAAAAAAATATATAAAGTAGTTGGAGCCACGCAGACTATCTTTCTGTGATGAAGAAATGTCTCCATTTGATTATTAGATTTGATCCTCCAAATAATAACTAGTGTACATAGTATTAGGATCATTATTTTGTAGATGAAAAAGACATGTCAGGGAAATTAAATGATTTGCTCCAAGGTCAGACTTTTTAATACAGGAAAATTAGCTAGCTGCTGACCAATTCTCTCACCAAACACGACTAGAAAAGCTGGCAGGAAATATTTTAAAATCTATTTTGAGTCATTGCAGAGCTATCAGAGCAGCAAAAACTTGAAGGACCACTGATCTGGGAGCTGGGAGATTATATTTGGCACTACTTTTCTCCTTGAAACACTTGCTAATTATAACAAGCAATGTCTTGGAGGCTGAAATCTGGGCTGAAAGCAGCAGATGAGAAACTGAGCAGTAATTTTACAGGGCTTTGGATAGAAGGTGATAAGGAGGGAACAAAACTAGGCATCCAGGGCCCAGTAGAAGCAGCAGTCCTGGTAAACACTCATAGATTTCAGTGGGGAACCCTAAAGTGCTTCGCCCTGAGAACAGAGATGCACTGAAAATAGACTATCCTCCCAGAGACCAAAGCTAAGCTTCTCATAGTCTCCATCCCTAACTGGACTAAGAGCTTCCTCTGCCACCATTACCTGTACTGCCTGCTGGAAGCCAAAGTTAATCCCCTTGGGAGGAAGATAAACCCACCCAGAAGCTATGGGGAAAATCTCTGATTAGGAGAGAATTATACCAATGACTCTTGACATGTCAAAAACAAAGTTCGTTTTTACAAAGTCCTCTCATAATGTAGCCTGTAACCAAGTGCAGTAGATTTCGCTTATGTTTCAGATAAGGAACAAGAGAGCGAGGCTTCACCAAGAACCCCAGGAAGTGGTTACAAGTTTCAGATATATACATCACAGCCATACATTTTTTAAGAAATATAAAGATATGATGCAGTTTTTTAAACTAATATATTGCTAATATAAGCTTCAATGTTTTGATGTGTATTTGACAAAAAAAAATAATTGTTCAAAGCATGATTTTTGCTTTTATTTATTATCCAGTTGAATGACAAACTTACAAATTATAAATGCACATTACATGGTAAGACAAAGACTAAACAGAAAGAGATCACAGTATCTTTATCCACTTCCTATACATTAAAATATGGACTGTATTAAATGTTCCTTTAGAGAATCCCAGGATTTTTATCTTTCCCAATTCAGAAGCCAACTTAAAAGTTAACAATTTGATCCCTGGTACCAAATTAAAAATTAACAATAATTCTATTATCATTATTATTTTTGGTACACAGGGATTGAACTCAGGACCCTGTGCTTATAAGACAGGCGGCTGTACCACTGAGCTAAATCCCTGGCCCAACAATAATTCTATATATCTTGATGTTTCATTACTACTTTGTAACTCCAAATGACAAAATATGAGGATTAAGAAATATAGGCATTCCGATGACTAACTTTTGAGCTTTATTAAAAAATTCAAGAGGATACTATAACCTTGAGTAATGACTCACTGGTAAAGAATTATGAACTAAACTTTTGGTTCAGTTCTGTACAGTACTCATATTTGAGTAATTATAACATATTCTTTGGTGTTTTGGAGACATATATTTAAAGCCAAAGACATATGTAAAATTCTAAGATTTGGGACTCCTAACTTATCAAATATCAAAAATCCCTAAATTAGAAGAACTGAAAACCATTATTAAATATTTCCATTCCTGAAATTGTGAATTACATACAGCGTTGAGTCTATAACATTTACTTTCACTTTTTAGTTATTAAGTGAATTTTTTTCTTTTCTTTTTCTCCCAGTACCAGAGATTGAACTCAGGACCTTGTGCTTATGAGACAGGCACAGCAACTGAGCTAAATCCCCAGCCCATATAAAGTGATTTTTAAATATCATTGTTTTAAAAGTCAAACCAATTCTTCACCATGATCAAATTTGTATGAAAATAACAGACGTTGAATGAATAATTTGCTACTTGTTATCTATTATGGTTTCCTTATAATAGATTTACTTGTATCAAAGTAGACAAACTATAAACTAGTGAATCAATATTTCAAATGATTTTAGATTAAATAACAGATCTATTTACTATGAAACATACTTAACAGTTGTTAGCTATTAAAATGTATAAGTAAAGATCTGAAATAGCATGAATTACTCTTCCAAATTCTGTTTCCTTATACAACAAGAAATGAAATTTGGCTTTTAAAATTTTTTATAATTTCTCTTGAAATCTTTAAATGATTAAAAATATAGTGGTCTTTTGAAATAAAGCATGTTAAATGGTATGCAATTTGACTATTGTAAAAAAATAAAGGCAGAGATTTTTAAGTAGCTGATTAAGCCAGGACAACCAACTGAAATATGACCCTTAATATGCCATCAGCAGAAATTAGAGAAAGCAAATGGAGTGAATATTCCAGTGATTCTGAGTCCCTCTTTGGACCTGTTGAATTTGATACTTGGCAGGTTTGTCACACTGTACAACTCCTTTCATTCCGTGTGAATGGGGCCACATGAAGCTGTGCAGCATTGGCCTAATTTATGGGACATCTAGGTGGAAATAACTAGCAAGCCGCTGGAATTAAGAGGCAAAAATTCAAGAAAGATGCCAGAATTAAAACTGCAAATATATGAGTAATCCAAAATTAAAACTGAAGTCATGGATGTGATTGACCATCTCATGAAGAGACAGTGGAGGGAAGAGCGCTAAAGACAGAAATTTGAGGTACATCTCCATTTAGTGGATGGGGGAGCAAAAAGAAAATGAAAGAGGCCCAGGACATCACTGGGAGTCCAGGTTCACCCATTTATAGCACAACTGCGGCTAAGGTTTGCATCTAATGGCTCCCAAAGGCCAATATGTTAAAGGCTTAGTCCTCAGCTTGGTGCTTTTGGCAGAGGCTGGAAACTTTAAGAGGTAGGGTGTAGCAGGACCTGTTCCTGTCATTGAAGGCATGCCCTGAAGAGACTGTGGGACCCTAGTCTCTCCCCTCTCTCCCCTACCCCAACATAAGGTGAATGGTTTTCCTCTGTCAGATGTTCCCCACCATCTGCTTCCTCATCACGGGCCTAAAAGCAACAAGGCCAACCAACCACTGACTGAAACCTCCAAAATTGTGAACCAAAATAAACTTTTCCTCTTCCTTAGTTGATGGTTTCAGGTATCTTCCTACAGTAACAAAAAGGTAACAAAATTGCTTATCCCTGTTACCAAGCTGACATTGCATTAAAAAAAAATAACTGATCCTTGCAACCCTTGCATATTTATAGGCTCAGACCTAAAATACTCTCCTCGACAATCTTCCTAACATTCCATTTCCTCCATCCTTTTCCTCCCCGTCTACCCTTACCTTTTGCCTTCTTATTTTTGGCCTCAGAAATAAAGTACATAATTGCCTTTCCCACTTACACGGTATGTTTCTCTCTACTGTCTCAGTCTTAACTCTCCCTTTGACAACACTGACTCCTGCTAGCCTGGGGACAACACCACTATGATACCAAGACTGCATGCCTGAGTGCAAGGCCATTCAAGTGTTGTCCCCACCACGGTCCCCTGGGCCTCATGAGTAGGACAGATAATCTAGGAAAAAACCAGTAGGATGCAATGTCATAGAAAGGAAAATGTTTCAAGGAGGAGGATCACTTGGGAAGGGCCTTTCTAGTGCCTACAAACCCAAATGTGAAATTCATAGCCTAGGCTCAAGAATTACACCCCAATCAACCCTTCAGTCTTACCTACTGCTGTATCCCAATAAGACACTGCACCTACACCTGGACTACTTGCACTCTGCTAGGCATGCTCCACAGAGATCTCTTTACTCATACCAGCAGCAGACAGAGCTGGTCTCAAGTTTAGGTGTGTGAATGAATGTGATTGCGGTTGACATAAATGCAGCAATAAGTAACAGATACTGGTAACAATATGGGGTGAACTTCACAACACTCACAAAGGTATTCTAAGGGGCCTGATCATTCATTTTACTCAGGAAGGATGGAAAAAATAGAGTTATGCTGAGACCATATCTATTCATTAGGCCAGATTACTTCTCTATTAAAAATGAGTGGTCAACTGGGCTTGATGGCATGCACCTGTAAGCCCAGCTACTTGAGAGGCTGAGGCAGGATGATTGCAAATTCAAGGCCTGCCTAGGCTACTTAGCAAGCCCTGGCCTCAAAAAAAAGAGGTGGCCAGTGAATTTCATGATCTATAAATTAAATGTCACTACAGCCGTTACAAAAACAAAGACAAAAAAAAAAAAGAAGGTAGATAGAGTATACAGAGGTACACATTTTCAGAGACCAGTGACTCATTAAACAGTGAGATTAGAGAATATTGTTTTGCCAGAAGTTGCTGTCCCTTCAGAATCAGGTCTTCAGGAAAAGCAACAGTTGGCCCACAGGCTCTGAACTGATGCTCAAATGCCTTCAGGTTTAGGAGGATGACTGCCACATACTCAGCTGCCTGCTGACCTTAGTGAGGGCATCACTGATGACATCTAGATCACGCCGCAGCTCATTCATAGCACTGGTTATGCTCTTGGTGTCTTTCAGGATCTGAATACTCTGAGTATATGGATTATACTTCACCCCAAATGGACGCTTAGTTGTTTTGGCAAATTCTCTATTTAAGAAAACAAGGAAGAGATCATTAATTTCTGAGGACAGAGCATTGATGAAAACAAACAACAGAAAATCTGTTTCACATACTAGGCAAAAGACAAATCTTTATTAGATATATGTGCAACAATCTCATCTATTTCCTTACCTGCATGTGCAGAGAGCCCCTAGAATGCAACAGGTGGAAAACCTAAAGTAGCATTGATACATCTACCCTGGCATTACTAGAGAAAAATCCCATAGGTCACTTTCTTAATAATTTATTACTGTGTATGTCTCATGCATTTTTTTCTACAGTGCTGAGAACTGAACCCTGGGCCTCACACAACACAAGCAAGCACTCTACTACAGAGCTACTCCCCAGCTCTAGACATCTCTTGATGACACTAAGGATACCAACCACAGTAGCTTTATCAATATATTAAGATACTTGGCCACACAGTAACAGATTCCCCACTTGTGCCTTACACAACTGTGACTACATCCATACACGTGCACACAAGGAGGCCAGGAGCAGCCCTGTCTCCAGAAGATGTATCCTCTTTCCACTTAGAATGTTTTTCTCTAGCCTCCTCTCCTCTCAAATGATTTGAATTCTACCCTTTTCTCAAAGCATCAAAGTTCTGCCTCCTTTATCAAGTCAGCATTTGCACCTTCATTTAGTAAGCCAAGAAAAGTCATGCGCAGGACCCCTAGGGATAACTGTGCAGCTGAGGATAATTGTGCATGAGTAAAGGCTGAAACCCAGGCTGCAATCTATCTGGTTTACACAGGGGGGGCACTTCTGATTTACACAAAGGTGCCATATGTGCTTAAGAAAGCCCCTCTGTTCTATGCATGGGCTACCTCTCCTACTACAGTCAATCTCTGGAAGATAAAGAGCATGTCTTCAACCTCTTTCTACTCCTATCTTCACAATGTAACCTCATGTCTCTCCTCCATCAAATGTTGTTTTGCTGATTCTGCTCCTATAGTCCTTCCTTTTCCTGTGACCTCTGTCTTAGTTCAGACTTTTATTTTCTCCAGAAGTACCATAAGAAAAGTGTCTCTGCCTCCAATAGCCTCCTGCCTTTCTTAATCACATACTTAGCTGATTAATAGTTCAACTATACTCTCAATCTAAAATTAAAAAAAAAAACTTTTAAAATAATATTTTAAAAAATTAAATAAATAAATAAAATTTAACACATCTAAAATACTATCTAGCCGGGTGTGGTGGTGCACGCCTGTAATCCCAGCACTCTCGGGAGTCCGAGGCAGGAGGATCGCTGTGAGTTGAGACCAGCCTGGGCTACATAGTGAGTTCCAGGTCAGTCTCACTACATAGTGAGACCCTGTCTCAAAAAACAAAAAACAAACAAACTAAAATACTATCTATGCTCTGGGACCTTTCTCACAGGGTGCTAAGCTTTTCCTGTTCCCCCAGCTGACATGAATTGCTCTTGAATAAAATGTAGAACTATCTTTCATCTATACCTCTTCTAGGCTCTTGTCACTTTCCATATTGTTATATAGCAGTGTATAGATAGTCTATTTTTTTCTATTAAACTATAAACTTTCTGATGGGAAGGATGGGAATGAATTTCTCAACTTATCTGGTTGTTACCATTACTTGACCTATCAATTGCAGAAGAAAATGAAGGTGTGAAGAAAATATACTTTACCTCATTTTCTCCTTTGCATCTTCAAAGCTTTCAGATACAAAATAGACATCTTGAAAGGTTGTGATAAGACATTCTTGTTTGCAAGTAATCTTGGGATCAAAGGGCTTTACTTTGGCATGTCCAGAAAGTGCGTGCTAGAGGAAAAAAAAGTCAGTGGATCAAAGAATAATTTCTATTTTCAGAGATCACACAACTTCCAGAATTGGTACACTTCTGCACTTATTACTTATCCAATGGCCCCAACCTACAACCTACAACTTCTTTCCTACATCTCTATTTAATGCACATCCTACTCCAATAAAACAAATGGCTTGCTATTCCTCAGAAAGACACCAAGATCATCTTTGTGGCTTCATTGCAATTTCTCCATGCCAGAGGCACCCATGAAACCTTACTTATTCCTGCATTGTGGCACCTACTTTCTACACAATGGTACAGTAGTTATTCCTATACTTGACTTATAGCCACCACTAGGTGGCAGGCTCCTTGATAGATCCTTGACAGCAAAACAATACCTTGGACAGTGTTTCACAGCCATTACTCAACAAATTCATACATTCATTGGTTAAATAATAAATATCAAATAATTCCCCCACAAGTATAGAAGTTATTGCTAGCACACCAGGAAAGATGAAGTGATGAGGTAGTTGCAAGATTTTGTAAGCAAAAGCTTCAAAACCATTTTTATTTAAAAAATTGTGTGTAGCTCTTGCTTCCTTTGCTATTTTCTGCCCACCATGAATTGTTTCTCTGCTGCAATCTCTGTCTGCCATATCACTCTGCCTCAGAGCCAGCCAATTATGTACCAAAACCTCTACAAACTATGAGCTAACTAAAACGTTCTTCCTTTAAAAAAAAAGATTACATGTATTCAGAAAACTTGGAAAATAGAGAAAAATGTCTTTTTTTTAAAGGAAGAAAAGTTCAATTTGGCTCACAGTTTTAGTATATTATCAGCTTGCTCCAAGGCATAACCTGTGAGGCAGAGACACATGGCAGAGAGAAAGGTGCTCAGCCCATGGCAGCCAAGAAGCAGAGAGGAGAGAGGAGCCAGGGACAAGAGTATACCTCTCCAGGTCATGGCCCCAGGAACCCACCCTCAACCAGGCCCCAAGAAAAATGTCCTCAAGTAATGTTTATTAAAATAAGTAAGAAGCCAGGTGTGGTGGCACACGCCTGTAATCCCAGCATTTGGGAGGCTGAGGCAGGAGGATCGCTGTAGGTTCGAGACCAGCCTGGGCTACACAGTGAGTTCCAGAGCAGTCTGAACTACATAGTGAGACCCTGTTTCAAAAAAAAAAAGAATTAAGATGTGTTACACATATGTACCAACTCCCCATGACAAATGTCATCATTATGCACTGCAAACATGTACTGATAAAAAAATTGAAACTAAAAAGCAATGTTTACTGTCACCCCAAGTATTTCCCATGGGAGGCTCTTATTCAAATATAAAAACTACTTCAGGTCATAGCAATTATATTAGGTGAATTAGTTATGTGCAAAGATTTACAACTCTTACTTTGAGTTCACTGATAGAAGAAAGTAAGCCAGCACCAAAGACTCTTAGCTGCCCATCTTGCTTACACAAACCAAATTCCACAGTGAAAAAGTAGCACTGCAAAAAGACATTAATATTATTTCACATCCCAGATGACTCCATCTAAAACAAATTTTAACTCTTAATCACTGGTCCAAAGTACCCCCAGAATAAAGCCCAAGATCCCCAACATAGGTCACAAGTCTTTCCACAATCTGGCCTCATTCTAACTAGCACTTTTCAAACTTGTTCTGAAGATTTTTAGACACAATTAAAAGTTACTGAGGGGGTCAGGGATTTAGCTCAGTGGTTCTGGCACCTGCTTCGCAAGCACAAGGGGCCAAGTTCGATCCCCGGTACCAAAACAAAAATGTAATGTAAAAGTTACTGAGGATTACAGGGATCTTTTTTCATATGTAACTTATAACTAGCTATATTAGCCATGTTAAAATTAAAACTGAATTTTAAAATATTAAGTATAAATATGGTAAACCCATTTTATGATAAAATAAAAACATTTATATAAAAATAACCATTTTTATGAAAGTAGCCTTGTTTTACATCATTAAAATCTTTTTTATTTTAATTCTTCTGACAAAATATAATCATATATAAATAGTGGGTACATAGTGTGGAATGATTCAATCAGGCTAATTAACAACATCATTACAAGTCTTTCAAATGTCTCACTAGACATTGTTTAATGCCTGGCTAGAAGACAGATGGATTGTTGCATCTGCCTCTGTATTTAACCTGTTGCAATATGTTGTTTTGGTTAAAGTAGATGAAGAAAACTCGGCTTCACACAGTTATGTGGTTGGAAAAGGCTAGAATATTTTAATAGCCTTTTCAGGTAAGTATGGATGTTCTCTCCTGAAATATACCGAAGTTCAACACATGGTCGTCTTTTTAAAGCTCAGAGATAATGTGGAATCAGAATGAACTCCATCTGTTAGATTAAAACTCATTTCCCATTTGAGTGGATCTTTTACCTATCCAGGATTTTAACCTCAAGGACCCTGTGAAAACATCTGAGAAACCCCCAGGACGCCCAAGGCACAATTCAAGAAGCACTGTTCCAGCCAGTCAACCCGCTTCACATCACTTCCTCTATCCTTCCACTCTCTGCCCCAGTTTCCTGTCATTTCCCCCAAGCTCACCAAGCGCACCCTCATCCTCAGATGCTCCTCCTTCCCTCCTTGGAACAGGAGAATACATACCACAGAACTCATTTCCACAGTTAGGACAGAGGTCCCTTTTCTATGAAACCTCCCCCAAATTCTCGCAAACTGCTCTGTAGTTCTTCCCCCTTTGAACGTGAATCCTCACATAGTATACAAGCTCCTTAAAGATAGGAATCAGGACTTACTCATCTTTCTAGTTCCAGGTCAGTGTCTTGGACCTAGTGCTCAAAATGTTCTTAGCATAATTATATGGAAATTATCATATTTACTGGAAAATAAAAGGTATACAAACTAGTGGCATTAACATTTCTCTACTCTTTAAAAATCTCTTTTTTGAGAACACTTTCAATTGTATGTCTTATTTTAATTAAGTTAAATATTCTGAGCAAAGACCACTTTTCCAATGGCTACCCGTGATATGAATTTTTAAACTGCACAAACACTCATACTTTGTACCCAGCCGAGAACAGCTGCACTTTAGAGCTTTTCATAGATTTATACCGTTGCCAGCTTCTGAACAGCCTCTTCTGAAGCTCCAAGTGATGCCAAACCAATTTCTTGGGAGAACTGAGCAAAACTAGGTTCAGCCAAGAGTGGAACATGACCTAAGAGTTCATGGCAGGTATCTCTGAAACGGAGGAACAAGTCTGTCATACTGTGATGCTTAGCGTACGTGTATAATCATTCAGTCAAATCAAAAATCTTGAATCGCCAATCTTACTCTTGTTCTAGTTGATCAGGTCATAATGGGTCCCAAAGGACACAATCCAAGTAAAGAAATGACTGAGGTTCAAACTCTTGGCCACTTACAGACATACATTTACATATCAGATACCCAAAGACATACCCTTGTCCCAGCCCCCACACAAATCAGGCCCCTGTTCAAATGGCACTTTTCACAACAAGGCCCTCCCTGATCACCCTTCATATAACATATCGCTCCATCCCCTTTCCCAGCTTTATTTGTCTCCATGGCACTCATCTCTGACTGACATAACATATACATTTACTAATGTATTTGTTATTCATATCTCCCATTGAAGTATGAGTTCTATGAGCACCTGGCACTAACAGGCTATTGATTAACAGTACAAATAATGCCTAAATGTTGGAACATATATGATGAGCCAGGCAGTATTCTAAATGCTTCCCAGATGCTGATCCACTTAATTCTTGAAAAAAAATGCAGTGGATACCCTTACTATAAATAATAATCACTTAATGAATGAATGGCTGGCATGTAACTACTTACGGCTCTGGGGTGTAGAGGGGATCTGAACTGTGCCTCACATACTGAGTGCAGTGAAAAACTCGAAAGGCCAAACCTGATAGGAAATCTCTTGGTGATAAGTAGCCAGCCACAGGGCGGATGGAAAACCCTGTGCGCTCTGTAAGGCAGAGAAGAAAACAGAAAATCTTTACCACGTGTGCAGACTTTGATGGAGGACATGGAAACTAAAATTTATCTCGTGTTAAATTATCATTAAGCACATTCTGTGGCCAGGCAATGAGTTAGACCTTTTACATATCATATCTCTTTCTGGGTATACAATATGAGCTAAAGATTTTCTCGTTATGACAGCACAGAAACAATACTATGCTTGAGGACACACAGTAAATAGTAAAGACAGGCTGAGAGAAAAGTCTCCTTATATTAGACCTTCCTGTCTCCTTAGGCTCACTTTCTTTTTGCAAACACTCAGGAAAAAGACTATTTTAGGCTGGAACCATTTTTTAATCAATGCCATTTTTAGTGAGTACTGTTTTTTGCAGTTTGTTTTGTGTACACTGGACAGCGTTCTGTCATTCCCCGCTTGGCAAGACTGTACGTACTGTGAAACGTGTCTGCCACTAGATATCGGTGACTTGGAGACCTTCGTAAGCTCCAGTCTTGTCCTTCATTGCAAAGTCTTACAACCCTGGTACCCCAATTCTACCCTGGTGCCTCATTGTTGGATGGTCCCATTCTGAGAAGCAAGGCACTGTCCAAGAATTTCCCACAATGACAGAAAGTTCTGTTCTGTGCTGTCCAGCAAGGCAGTCACTAGCTATAAGTAGTTACTAAACACTTAAAATTAGGCTAGCGTAACTGAGGAACTGACATTTTAACTGAAATTCATTTAAGTTATTTAGAATTTAAACAACCACATGTGCCTAGTGGCTACCATATTTGACAGTATGAGCATTGTATCCTCTTTGACCTGGTGTTTTCTTTAAGTTGTCTTTTAATGTTGGTAGCTCTCTTGCCCTTGAATCACCTTCAGCAAACACATCTTGCAGCCAGCCCAGCTTCTGGATCCCAAGATAACACCTTCAGTTTTGTATCCATAACAGAGTATTTCCTCCAAATCTCATGCAAATTTGATTTTAAAAAAACTCCTGTAGCACGCAGTTGTACAACTCTGTAAGCCCACTAAGGTTATATGCATTGTACTCTGTTTTAAAAGCCTAGTTTTTATAGAAACCACTTACAAGATTTCTTCTCATGTAGAAAAACAATTGCCCTTTTCTATTCAGTTGTTTGTTTTGTTTTGTTTTGGTTTTTGGTACTGGGGATGGAACTCAGGTCTTTGCACTTGCAAGGCAGGCGGTAGCACCACTGAGCTAAATCCCCAGCCTCTAGTTTTTTTTATTTTTGTGTGTAATTTTTGGTATATGTGCTGCCGAAGCAAACACATTGTGTGTAGTTTTTTAATAATGAAAGTTAAGGTACTGAATGGATTTATAGATTACTTTATTAACAGTATACATAAAAAATTCAGGGCCGGGGATGTAGCTCAGAGGCACAGCGCCTGCCCGGCAAGCGCAAAGCCCTGGGTTCAATTCCCAGTACCAAAAAAGAAAAGTGAAAAACAAGACCAAAAAAAAAAAGCCCCTTAAGAAAAATTCAAAGAGTAACTTCAAAAAAAAGGAAGGCCCTTTCAGTCAAAAACATAAATTCTTTTTCACACTAAGGTCTCTAATCTGCTGAGAGAACAGCAGATATTTATTTTTCTTAAATATTATTTACCCTGGAGATCACTGATCATTTTACTTTTCATACTAACTAGAAAAAAATAAAGAGTCCTGGACCAAATGAGTATGAAGAGTTAGAAGAATAAATATTCTCTTCCCCTTTGTTTATGCTCTCATTTGCACATCTTTCATGTGAAAATGATAGAATCTTAATGCAGAAAGGAACTTCAGAAATCGTCCAGGCCACCCTTCCCTCAAGTGTCTGGATTCCCTGTACCATATCTTTGACTCCCAGGCGTGGCGTTTAGGCAGGACACCTCCGTGGAAGGGCAGATGACTCTATCAGGAGCCTCTCAGATTATGAAATGGCTCATTTAACCAGATACTCTCCACTCTGTGTGGAAGCTCACAGTTTCTATCCAACAGTCCCTTACTTCTAGGACCACATACTATTACCACTATTACATAAAATGGCTTTCAAATATTCAAATATTTAATAAATGTCTTCTAAATCTTCGACTTAAACACCTTTCATATTTGCTATTGATAAGTTTTCAAAACTCTCTTTTAATTCTGCTCACTTTATTCTCCTGCTCCAGGTTATGATTGGCTCCCCTTGAGCGTGGTGCCAAATCCTCATCGCAACATGCCAGGACACAGTGAGGAAAATTCTGAACTCCTACATAACCAGACTTCACTCCTCTGTTAAAAATGCTGACATGGGGCCAGAGATGTAGCTCAGTGGTGCCCCTGCCTTCGTGGCAAGCACAAGGCCCTACGTTCAATGCCCAGTACAAAAAAAATGCTGTCCTGATCAAAACACATTCCCCTTACAAAAATAAATTTGCTCGATACCTTTTAAAAAGTTTGAGACATCCTCCAGTTGTGGAATATTATCCTCCCGATAGCCACAATGTTTAGAAAGCAAAGGTAAGTTTTTGAGGTACTCTCGGCAAGCATGGGTTGGGTAGAGTTTGTTGAGCTCTCGGAAAACAGTTCCCCAGGTATTAATCTCTTCTTCAGTGAATTCAACCTTGGGAATGGGATCTCCGCTAATGAGAGAAAGGAATTATTCTGAATTAGCGTCAGTACACGGTAGCAATTATTTTATTTCCTACTTAAAAATGAAACACAAATTTGCTCTATTGATTTACCTTGTGATCTCAAAGTTGTATATTTTATCATAGATAATATACTTACTATTTATAGTTCATAGCCAACTCTGAAAAATACTTCCGTCTTTTACGGTACACATTGTCTTTGAAGCCCTGATAATCAAAAATAAGTTTTTAAATACACTAAAAATACTTGAAAGATGGTATTTAGGAAACATTTCATTATTGTTACTGGAGATATTATATTACAGGACTAGTAAATATTACCATGAGCAAGTATTGTTTAAAGACTTACGATCCTTTTTATTTTGAAGTCAATGTTACATAACACCTTTAAACTCTATTGGCTACAAAAATAAATATCTATAGATACTATAATGACTACAAAGATAGTTTGAAGACTAGCAAAAGCATAGCCCCAGTTAAATGGCCTTCTTCCCAAGATGAGTTTTTGTATTTTTTTTTCCTTTAAGCCTTCAACCACATCTTCAGTTATACACACCTGTGGCAGTAATTAATATAAAAGAACAGGCCTCGGGTTACAGCTCAGAGGAAGAGTCCTCAACGAGCATGTTCGAGGCTCTGGGTTTGATCTCAAGACCTTCCACTTGCAAGGCAGGCACAGCGCCTCTGAGCTACATCCCTGGCCCAGGATATAACATACTTTTATCCATTTATTGGCCAATGGGCATTTTGGGTTGTTTCCACTTTTTTATTATTAGGACTAATATTAATGGGAACATTTGTGTATGAATTTTTGAATATGTTTTCGATTCTCTTGCATATATTCCTAGGAATCACTGGTGATTTTTGTGGAGAGAGAGAGACAGTGGTCATCTTGAAGTGCTGGATCGTTCTAGTGACTATGAGGATGGATTTGGAGATGGCAAAGCTGGAGGCAGGGAAACTAGTTAAGGAATGTGGAAGTGGAGACAAATAAGGAAGAAATTTAAGAAATACTCAGGAGGTAAAAATCACCAGGATTTGGTAGTAGATCAGTAAAACTTATTTCTTTACTAACCTCTCTGTAAACATGCTCCAGATTTTCTTGCCTCTGAATCTCTGAGCATCTGTTCCCTCCTTGTCCTTTCTCACCATCACTTACCTGCTGAAATCTTCTAAAGTCCAACTGAAATTTTGCCTTTCTCTGACCTCTTTAACTAGGTGTGTTTGTTCTTTTTCATATACTTTAAAGCAATTTATCGATGTCATTTCACACACTTTTTACATTTTATCTTGTGTATGCTTATATAGATGTATTCCAGCATTTTATCTAGACCGATAAGTTCCTTTAGGGCAAATATTGCATTTCACTGCAATATTTATACAATAAGATCTTAAAATAATGGGTGAATTATCTGGAGGATGTCCCAAGTGGTATGAGGTCACATTCACATGGTGATTAAGTGGGAAAAGCTAGATTAAAGCCCTGGTCTGTAAAACTCCTTAATTGCACTCTCTTCTCTCCTCCTCTCCCAGGAACCTGGAGCTTCCATAAGCAAGCTGAATGCTCTGGACTTACCAATGCTCTGCATGGATTAATTCTCCAAATCTTTTCTGTACTGTACAATTCTCCAAAAAATTAACTTCCTAGTCATCACTGCCTAATAAATCAATCATGCTGGGTAGCATGGATAGTAAGTCTTTCTCCAGCCCATCTTTATTCTCCTTTCCAAAAGTCATTCCCATTTTAATAAGAACTAACTGCAGACATTGAAAAGCTGTACAACTCTTGAAATACCTCTTGGAACAAATAGCAATGCCAGGCATAGAGGGAGCAGGTGTTTTGGAGCCAATGACATTACGTGGTTTTCAAGCAGTTAGTCTCAACTCCACCAATGCAGAGGCCTAACATTCTCTGAACTCTGGATTAAAACAAGATGCTATTTAGTCTAGAAAAAAATACTTTCTAAAGAAAATTTGCCTTTAATTTTTAGTTTGCTTTAAATTATTTTAATGAAATTGTTTATTAAAGAAAAATATTTACAGTAGAGGTACAAGATCCCAACAATGAATGTAACTGTACTGTATCTCTAAAATGTACCAATAAACTCAATTAAAGCTGAAAAAAAGAAAGAAAAATATTTACAGGATGATTGGCATCAAGTTCAGATCCATACATCAGAACTCTGGTAGCGCAAAAATCCAGGTCAGAGATCTTCTTCGGAAACCAAGGAACAGTTTCCATACCTGAAAAACACAAAAACCCACTAAAAGTTGAAAAGATGATATCAAATAAGGTACTAACAGAGAAGAAATGAATAAATTTGGATGAGATTTTTTTACTTGTATATAGAAGCAACATTTATAAAAGTTAAGTAGCCCACTCTATTTCTTAGGAGTAAATTTTATGGAAGATTTTTTAACTTTAAAAACATTTTTGAGTCTTCAGATTGATTTCCAAAGGGCTGGGGATTTAGCTCTGTGGTGCTGCGCCTGCCTGGCAAGCACAAGGTCCTGAATTCAATCCCCAGTACCCAGGAAAAAAAAGATTTATTTCCCAAGTGTTGGACAAATACTGTACTTTAGTACAGACCAAATGCTTTTAAAATGTTTTAAGCCACATATGTAGCTATCCTACAAAGCAGAATAAGGATCTAAAACTTACAGACCAAGGTATAGGCTTAAAAAGAACTCTGAATATCTATTTTTGTTGTTGGAAAATCTTAGAAATTCATTAATGCCTTTGCCACATTCATCTCAACATTCCTCTGATACTCATGAGATTCTGGGATTTTACATATGTCCTTCAACCTGGATGACCTGTCCCATTCCCAGTCACCCCACCCCATCTTTCTGTGTTCCTGAGAACACCTTTCTCATATTCCTGAGAACAACTTTCTCCCAAATCTAGTAAGACCCCTCATTCTGTAACGACTTCCCTGACCCTGTAGGAAGAGATCATTTTCTCTGGGTTTTTGTAACACTGTGTAACTCTCGATGTTTTTGCTATGCTTTATTTTATCTGTCTTTATGAAATGACTGGGAATGACTTAGGGTAGGGAAGGTATATTTTTGTATTTGGTTCTTAGTAGAAATGCCTAACACATATTGCTATATCCTAAATGTCAACTGAACCAGCTAGCCATCAACAAATCTCTGCATTTTATAGATGAGGTAACCAAACTCCAGAGGTGTAAGGTAATTTACCCAAGGTAACTCATTTGCAGTGGAATAAAGAGGACTAGGACTCAATTCTTACGGCCAGGAGTGATATTCAAAATTTAACAACAAATACAGCGGGAGAGCTGATCGCTCAAAATAAACACCAGCAGAGTCCATAACACCTACTCTGCCAGGTGTTAGCCCTTTCTTTGTTAACGGTGGACGTGGGGGTTCTGGTGAGAATTTGGAGTGACAGAGGCTTCTGGCATGATGGGAAGCAACTCAGGGAACTAGTTCCTGGCAGTCTAAGTGGACATGTATCACTATTTTAATAATTGCACAAACTTACAAATACACAACAGGTGGATATTAGCCCTGATCATACTTTAAATACTGTGGCATCATCTGGAGAGATTACTGTAGATTGAGTACCATATATAAAATGTGGCTAAAGTATCCATTTGTCTTTCTGATGCAAGTAAACTACAAGGATTGTTGTCACTAATGGAGATCTTCAACTCTATCTTTGCTATCTGAGTAGCTGAAACCTTAGAAGGCTTTGCTGCTTCCCTTGTTTTGCTGGGGAGGCTGTGAATAATATATTTCACCTCACAGTTGTCAGACACCACCAACATTCCAAATAAATTCAAATATTCATTCAATAGATGTTAAGCCATGAGAGAGTTACTAAGTGCTCAGAGAGTGTGAACTGGAGGTTTGTGGAGTCAAGACATGCTTGACCATTTGATAATTCAGAGGTAACTGATTTGTAACCATTTGATTCTTCTTTTTACTCAAGGTTTCCTTTTCACTTTCCTCACCTTTAATTGAATGTTGCCTTATAATTTTTCTTTAGTATTTTGAGCAATTATATTTTGTGTTTCCTTCACCAGCAGACCATAAGAAATCTGAAATGGCACTGTTTTATTTTTATCTTCATGTCTTCAAGATGAATGTAAGAGTAAACTTACATTAGGTACTTAATCATCTAAGTAACATTTTTACTGTTCAAACTTACCATCTTCCAGTCGGGCGTGGTAGCGCACGCCTGTAATCCCAGCACTGGGGAGGCTGAGGCAGGAGGATCCCTGTGAGTTCGAGACCAGACTGGGCTACATAGTGAGTTCCAGGTCAGTCTCAACTACATAGTGAAACCCTATCTCAAAAAACCAAAAACAAAACAAAACAAACTTACCATCTTCCTTTACAGTCAAATTATCTGGTGGGTTCACAGAGAGAACATTAGTATGAGACTTCAGCAGATGAAAAATATCACTCAGTTGTTCTCTGTTGATATCACAGTCAACAAAAATCTCAAATTCTGAATTTCTTCTTTTTGATTTTCGAGACTCAATATGTAACAGGTTCACATGCTTCTCCTGTGTACAGAAAGTAGCGATGACATGTAACTGCCTCAAATGTCCACAGTCTTAGAGAAAATTCTTTTCATTACCATTAAAAACCAATTTCACAATATAATAATAACCAAATGGGAAAAGGGATGGTTTAGAGCAGCCAACAGCAAAATAATTCCCCCTCAAATATTATGTACTATGCAATAAAAGTCTTCGAAATCCATCATACCCTCCAAAAGCCAGTAATGTAATTTAACACTCACTAGAGGTTCTTCAGATAATGAGAACTGATTAGAATTTAAATCAAAACATCAGGTCTCCTGGATAAAAAGAATTTTTGGAAAATACTCATAAAATCAGTTTCAGAAAGTGATATTAATGCTACTCCTTGTGAAATAAAGTGTCATCTGCAAAAGTGCATTCAATAAAATTAGATGAAGAGCTTGAATGCAGAGTACTTAATACCCATAAAGTTAGTAGTAAGATGAACCAGATTGCTTCTTCCAATCCCTTTCTGCATCAGCCTGAGCTGTGGATACTAAATGTGCAGACCTAGGGGAGGAAATCATGCTCTTCTACCAATTTGGGTACAGTCTTAGTTTCTTTTCTCATTGCTGAGACAAAATACTCAACACTCAAAGTTAAAGGAGGAAAGGTTTACTTCGGCTCACAGTTGGTAGAGGTTTGAGTGCACAGTCAGCTGGCTCCAAGGCAGGGAGGCGTGGCAGAGGGGCATCACAGAGAAAGAGTCCATGGCACAGCAGGGCAGGCAGATGGCAATAAGGCAGTAAAGAAGCAAGCGACGGCAGCAGCCCTTTCCATTCCTTTTATTCCACCCAGGCTACCTGCCCTGAGGGTGGGGCATCCTCAATCCCAGCATCATACACCCTAGATCCAGCCACTTCCAAAAAACCCCACCTATGACTGCACAAGACTTCGGGGGGACATCTAGACACAAGTCATGACAGATACTGAGGAAAAGCACTAGGGACATAGTATTGAAACATGAGAACCAATCACCCAACGGTCCTTCATCTAAAAAATGAAAGTGTTAGGGCAGATGATCTCCAACACTAACCAGTTCATCCTAGAATAACCTAGTGAACAACTGTGTAGTTAGGAAAGTGCTGTAAAAAATAAAAAGGAGAGTATGACAGACATGGGATTTATAGTCTAGCTGGCCAACATGTGAAAGACTATGAGAAAATACAAGTAGCTCATGATCAGATGCAGGGGTGTCAGCGAAGAGGAAAAAAATCATCAATTAAAGAGAACAGAAGGTTTCATGGAGAATGGCAACTGAAATAAATCTTAAAGGATGAAAAGAATAGGAACACAGAAAGAAGGAGGAGTTCCAAATGGAAGAAACTGTGCAAGCAAAGGTAGGAATGAGCCAAGAAAGATGAATACTAGGAGATGTTAGGACATTGGAATAGGCAGGGTTTATCAAGGAGGATAGAATTTATCATAAAATCAATAGAAGAAAGCCAATTACAAGATAGACTGGAATTGGTCAGGGGTAAAAGGGAGCTTTATTTTACCTATTTCTTACAGTTTCTTTGTTTTTGTTTTTTGTTTTGGGGATTGAACTCGGGTCCTTGCGCTTGCGAGGCAGGCCACCGAACCACTGAGCTAAATCCCTGGCCCTCTTACAGTTTCTTACAATAACACATTCACAGAGGTCCAGGGATTTAGCTCAGTGGTTCCGCCACCTGCCTCACAAGCGCAAGGACCCAAGTTTGATCCCCGGTAGGAAAAAAAAAAAAAAAAAAAAAAGACAATAACACATTCACAAATATTTTCTAAGTGATGATGAGTATATATAAAGCTAAGGTTCTATTTTTGGAAAAAGATGAAAATATTGTATCAGTTCTTCCTAAATCAATACATAAGTTGAACACTGCCAAAATTTCAATGGATTTTGGTGAGGAAATTTAACTAAATAATTTCTAAGTTGATCTGAATGAAAAAGTTAGTCAAGAAAATTCAGATAAAGTAAGAATAATAAGTTATACAAGGTCCTGAGTTCAATCCCCGGTATCATAAACAAACAAACAAATGAGACAGTCCCCATAAGTTATTTTAATCACAGAAACAGAAGTATAGAGAGGTTAAGCAGTTAGCTCAAAGGCACACAGCTAATAGCTATCAAAACCGTAATTCAAGCCTAGGCTATCTAGCTCCAAGATCCATGCCTTCAAACAGTAGGCAGCAATCCCACTGTATAAAAAAAGAGGCACCCTACTGTAGGTCTTCTTTCATAATCTTAATAATGAAAACACAAACACTGACATAGACAAAAATAGGGCATAAGTACATTAAGAAAATTTCTTGAGAGCATTGAGAAATAGGAAGGAAGTTAAGGAGGCCTCTGAGAAGGAAGCTGTGTAAAGAAACAGACTTCACTTCCATTGTAGGAAATCAATAGGCAATACCTACAATAGAAGCAAAATAAGTGCAGGTAAAATATTAGCGAAGTAGTTTAAAAGGCTTAAAATGATTGCTTCCTTTAGGCTGAAGATAAGTAAAGTGGGAAGGGTGCTCCCCTAGATCAGGCAGCAGTCAGAAGAGTTAATGGGGTGCATCTGCAGCAGCACAAAGTGTGGAAAAGTGTTTACAGCACTGTAATGTTTATATACATTACTAATATTATATGTGTGCATAAATATTTCATACCTAAAGTACACATAAAATAAGACAATGAAAAGAGAAATTGAGATTGGAACAATAAAATAAGACAGGAAGAGACTGCATAAACAAATGCATGTGTAAAAAAATTGATCACGTGTGATTTAATGAGTAGGATTAACTCAATTTTCTATACCTATGCTTATTAAAAAAATCAAACAAATCTTAGGAATGAAGACAAATGGAGCAGAAGATTGCTGTTTTCTTGATAAGTTTTATAGTATGTACACCATGCACAAGTATTCTTTGAATAACAATAAAATAAAATGAAAGCTGGTGGGAGAAGGAAATAGGTAATTTTTTAAAACACAAAGATAATCAACAGAATAAAAATGATATAATTGTCAAACTTGGAGAGGAGAGGAAAGGGAAGGAAAGAAAGACACTGTCAATATCACTGTTTATAATAGAGAACAAACAAGTATGTAAAATTCACAACTCAAAGAGAGATATGACAGCAATATTTATATTATGTAATACACTACCAATGAGAAAAAAAAGAAATAGTTTTTTTTAAGTTACCTCTAGAGAATGGAGCTGAAGATATGGTTAAAAACATTTGATATTTTTCATTACAAACTGCTAAAACTGCTAAAGTCTTTGTCTATACATAAGTTTTTTTAATTCTCTGCATCATTATTTTCAAATAGCTATTTAATAGTATGTCAGACAGATATAAACTTGACTTCTAAATATACTTCACTTTTATGCCTGCCTCACAAGCACAAGGGCCCAAGTTCAATCCCTGGTACAAAACAAAACAAACAAACAAACAAAAACTTCACTTTTTTTGATCATCTACTTTGTACTATCACAAGCATTTTAAATACGGTAATTCTACTAGCTCTCATGATGACCTTGTAAGGTAGGTAGTGTTTCTCTCATGTTACAGGGAAATGTGATGAGATTAATTAATTCACCCATGACCACCCAGCTAATAAGTGACAGGAAGGGTGTGAACTCAGCTGATCTGCCAGTAGACCAATACCTGGTACTTTTGAGTCACTTTACCAGATGTACTTCTTTAAACACTCTCTTTATTTGTCATCTTATCTTCCCCACTAGATTATTCACTCTGTGAAGGCAGGCACTGTGTACTTTGTTCAGCTCCATACCCTTAGTATCTAGCACAGCACCTGGCACACAGTAAGTGTACTGTAAACGTTCATGCTCTGCCTGACCAACCCATATTTTCTTTTTTTTTTCAGTAAGTAGCTGTTTCTCTCAGTGATATTCCTCCCCCTCCATATTTTCTCAAGACAGACCACAGAAGTAGAATTACTGGATCAGAAAATATGAGCATTTGAGATTCATAAGTATACATTACCAGACAGTTTCCCTACATTACACAGTACCAACTTATGTTCCATTTATCTATAAGTGGACTGAGGATGTATTTGAAACACTGAAACACTGAAACACTAATAGCAGAGGAGGATAATTATAAAATATTCACTATCAGAAAATATCATTTAATATTTTAATGTCATCAAATAATATCAAATAGATCATTACTATATAGGATTAGGTATATCATTAAATTTTAATGCTGTACTTAATTAAAATATAATTAAAGGGCTGGGGATTTAGCTCAGTGGTTCCACTGCC